CTTTTCTTTTCCCTTCTCTTACTGATTAACTACTCGGTCGATTTTGAAGCCACGTCGAGAAATTTATTATGTTTAGTATTTCTTTCACCAAGCTGTAGACACAGCTTACGAAGAAACAACAATAAGGGGGAGGGGGCCTTTTGGCTGATGATACTAGCGATTAGCGTTAACCATAACCTTAATGAAAAGAAGCATCACAAATAGCGTTTCATCATAAAGGAACAAGGAGATCGACATCCCAGGGTTGCAAACTTCAGTCAAAAAGCTTTCTTCTTCCTTTGCTTCTATGTAATGATGAAGAACTTGTTGTTGTGCCTGTTTAAACCATCAGTTTGAGCTGTTTGCATGAGCAGAGCGTCACTGGTCTGCGATTTTCAGCTATATTCATACTTTAACAACACTTTTGTTATAAAACACCGACTGCTGCATTGTTAAAGGAACAATTCCTCTCCGTATGCAAATTTATCTCTACATTGTTTATTCATCTTGCATGCTGACTTCCCGGTCGATGTTCGCCTCCTTGGATCGGCTCTCATGAGAGAGGCTCATATTTCAAAGTTAATAGCACATGCTCAGCTAATTTTTTTTAAAAGGGTCCTCCTTTTCTTAATCTGCGCATTCACTGAGATCATCTGTGCCCAGAACGAATGCCGAAACGGATGACTGTTTCTCGTATTAAAGAACACAAACCAATGTTTTCCAGACGAGAAGGTTCTTGTCCTCGAATGGCGAATGGTTCAGTCTCCACATTCAGGAAACAAACAACGGTCTTCATCTTCTATCGCCGCTTCTCCTTTCGGGTCGCGGAGGCAGACGCGTCACACAGCGCTTCTAACGTTCCCGGTCCAGTTCTAGAATCAAAGCTTCCGCAGAAGACAACTGAAGTCTGGAACAGGCTCCATCCATATGTTTGCACTAGGTTAATTTGGCCGTCCCTGGGCCTTTTGCCGGTCGGATTTGCAAGGAACAGTTGCTTAGCCTTCTTTTCTGGAGGCATTCGCAACATATACCCAAGACAAACAACAGTAGAATTTAAATACTAGAAATTCTCAAAAATGCCTCCAACTTTAAAATGAACGACATTATCGAAGTCAGCTGTAATGGGGCTCCTGTGATACTTGGCTTGGACCTTCTCCATAGACTGGTTGACATGACTGTTCCACCGGTATTCATTTAAGATATGAATTATTCCAGTCACAGCGTTTCCATTACTCTTCTCTCGTTCAACACATCCTGAAGCACAGTGGTCTTTGCTTGTAAGCCTGAGATATAACCGTTCCATCTTTTAAGAGGGTGATCTTCTTCCACAATCCTATTCGTGCCATTCGTGAATAATCACAGTCGATCGGTGGCCATCGAGCCAAGTCGGCTTGTTGGAATTGTGCTTATCGTGCTTTACATGACGGCGGCTTCGTTTCGTTGTCTGATTTTTTACTGGAGGGAAATCCTCAATGACTTTCTTCTCGTGGCTGTCCCCGTAACAGAAAAGCCATAAGCTAAAACGGTTATATCCAGCTTTCTTCTGCTGCATCCACGGTCTTACGAGCTGAAGAATGCTAGCATAAGTTTTGTCGAAACGTGATTTGCAGACCGTCTGTGAACGGGAAAGTCGTCGTTCACGTTGGAGTCATGGATGACCTCGGAGTATTAAATTACGAAATAACGGTTATTGTTTAATGTTTAGAACTTTGTTCGCAAGAACGACATTCAAATCATCAAACAGCTGAAGCGGATGGAAAGCGAGTTGCGACGAAATGAGGACAGAGGTGAGTGAGCAGCGGTGGCTAACCGCAGTCAAACGACCTTGCTCTGATTGATGACTTTGTTTTAAGCGCCTACAAGCCAGTCCGGCATGCCGCAGCACGAATTCGCGATTCCGCGGTGTCTCAGTGCCACTTGAACAACAGCACGTGAACGAAGGGACAAACAACGCATAGAACCATGTGGGCGGATGACGACGCTTTAACCGTTTTCAACGTTAAACGATATAGCTGGTCAATTATTACGTTTTAATTGCGTTCAGAAATAAGAATTCTTCGGATTTGCCCATTGGAACACAGACCGATGGACGGAGTGTCTCAGACATTACCGGTTAATATTACTGAAAGTTCAGCATAGGTATAAAGTATGCAGAATAAAATGTTGCAAAAAATACATTTTGCAAAAAAATAATTTTTTAAAGCTGTCCACATCGGGACAGTTGTATGGTATCATCGTTGCTTTGTCCGAAAACCATTTACTGGAAAGTTCATTCGTTTTGACACTGTACAAATCGGACAACGACAAGCGAATTTCTTCAACACTTTTTCAACTCAAATTACGCATTGTGCCTTCTCTAAAACTTGGCAGGCTACCATACCACATTTTCTTACGCTACCCAAGCTGTTACTTTTATAGTGGATCATTTTAGAAGGCCAACGACTCATATAAACTTGGCTTGCCGCTTTCCTTGGCTTTGAGGCTGCGTTTGATTCAACGTATCGTCCAGAGAGGCGAAAAATCTTGAAATGGTGTCTGATACCCGAAAACATCATTTGAAAGAGATGTATTTAAGATCTATGTCAGCCGTCAAAATCAAACGAGCGTTATACGATTGATTCCCTCCGAATTATGGAGTTCACCAGGTGAGTGTGCAGTTGCCTCCGCTGTTCAACGTTGTCCTTGACATTCTTTTATGAAATGCTGCTGGTCCTGGCAAAGACAAAGATCTCGTTCTAACGACAGAACACTGTTTAAGGTATTCGAATAGAAATTTCGCTGACCCTGGAATGTACAGAAATATTCTTTGGTTGGATAGCACTAACAGCGGGCTCTGTCGCCTGATGACTTGTGTATCTTGAGTCCCAGAAGATCAAACGCCCCGCGGATTGGCACACTCTGATGACATGGTGCTATGACGTTTCCAAGGGACTGAGGGAATTCTGAACTATTGCCTCGCCATGATACAAAGTTATCCTCATAACAACACCGTGGTATCAAGACGAGAGAAAAGCGATGAATCCCCATGGCGCAAAATTCTGCGGGAACAAAATGAAGCATGAACACCAGCCAAAATGTTTCGATATTATTTATGTGACCAGACACTTGCCTCTGAACCTTTAAGGGATGCCTGTTTAAGGTGGCATCAGAAACCAAATGGTTGCTAAACATCATTATAGATGCTCGATGATATCACTTGGGATAGAGAAGCAAGCAGTCTTCGCGAGCTTTCCTTTTCTGTGGCAGAATACAGTAAGCCAGAACAATGTCTGCCCACACGGTCAGAGCTGATACGAAAGATTACAGGAACGGTAAAACTGGCCCAAATATAACGGTTTCCTGTATTGTCTAACGTCACCCTCTGAACAACTGAGGAACCTCAGAGAAATCGAAAAATTGCACAAAACGAAAGGAATATTTGTCACCGATTGAATGTCGGTTTTCCTTCACTTTCATGATTAGGCCACATTGTTGCCCTTCTTTTCATGTACTTGATTGTGCGGTTCTGATCACAGATTCTGTGCCATCAGTCAGGAGTACCGGTTGCAGAGTCTACAGTCATGCGACAAGCGTAGCTTATAGTTTCCTGTTTCCTTCCCACATAGCGGAACTCATTTATCAACCTCGGCAGGAAGAAGGACCTGTGACCCCGACAGAGGCCTGAACTCCGAACCTGCCTGTCGGTTAGAGTTCGACGAATTACCGACTGAGCAACCCTGTCTGAAGCAATGTGTGGCAAATTGTTTACTCCAGAGAACTGAATAACACCCTACTGTCCGGTAAACTGACTTCATCTTGCCGCGGAAAGAGTAATCTTTTATTTAAAATGGTATTACTGAACACGGCAAATGTGACGACGGAAATTCATTGAATAGCTTCGGTACGAGAGCGAAGTGGATAGTCAAATTATAGATAATCTTAATACCGAATATTCGGTTAATAAACTAAAATGTGGTCAGGGCTTAGAAAGCTGTCTTTCAGTGGTTTTCAAACTTAAACGTTCAACAATGATTTGCTCTTAACGTCATGCGGAAGGAAGACTTCCACGGAAACAGATTTTCCTCCAGAGGACAAACGACTGTGAAGAAGTTCCTGACCAATTATTGTCAAACATATATCTAAGAAATGTTCTCTTCGTCAGAAGTGATAACAGCGCTTTTTGCTTTCAGCGACATAACGATGATTTTACATGTAAGCTTAACTTGAGGCTGGAAAATAAAAAATTATTTTTCTGTCTGTCTTCCATTAAGCAACCGATCGATTCTGTCACTCAAATTGCTAACTGAAATAAACTGTTCATGTAAAGGTTTCCCGCTTTTTTACAAACAGCACGGCTGAAAAATCTGTCTTTTTTGTGTTAATCAAGGAATGGAAGCAAGCAGGAGTCCTGTGTCTTGGGCATATGAAACTGCTGTCCAGCCAGACGGTGTTTTGAACACGCCTCCAAGCAAAGAAAGTATCGTTTAAATGCAGGGTTGAGATTCGAGGCACAGCATCACCCATCGGAATAAAGAAGCAGTTGGGGCAATGCCTTGCAATCAAGTCTGCTTATCGTGTATAAAGGATCAAGTTTAAAAGTTTAGTTAGGCAAAAATATCTTTTCAGATACATCGGTGGATAGCCACCGAAGTTCTTTTCGATCAGCAATTCTTTATGAAAGTTTGTGTCGTCCTCGCTTTCCTCAGGAGAGGTGAACGAAACCAAACGATTAGTGAAGCGTTCAAATCAATCTGACATTGAGGGCATACGGTTAAAAAAGGCATTCTTTCAGTTCTAAGAAGGAAATTGCATTCTCAACCTTCAAACACATGACTAGCTGAAACGGCAAAACACGGACGACATGGAGGTTGGCTTGCTGCAACCAACAAAGAGTGCAAATGCGCGCTGGAATCGACTGGTGGAAAGCGTTCAGCAGCAGCTTCATAAAGACCAACGTTATTGATTAAGAGACAACTGATACCCGCATTGGTTAATTAAGCAATCAATCAATCAGCTGTTTAACAGTTTGTGCCACATAACTGCTGCCGGCAATAGAGGCCATCTTCAAATATATTGGACAAACCACTGGTTGACGAATCATCAGGCGCTTCTCGCTTGGGCATATCGTTCAGAAAACGTATGAGTGATTCATACAAACAGCAACGAAAATCCAAACTTTTTCTAGCACAATGTGCATATGTTATCTTCCGGAGTTATAATACGTCAATACAAGTATGAGCATAGGAATAACGCTTGTGATTCAGTGCAAATCGGTAAAACCTCGATTTCCCGAGTGGTCCATAAGCCTACCCGAAATCGTAAGCCTCTGCGTTGCTTTTTGCCAGTTTACGTTTTCATTGAGGCACTGATTCAAAACAAAACACTCTAGATAAATTGAGTATAGTGCTTGCACGAAATGACACAGGAAACGATGCTGAATTAAAGCACCAACGTGGCTTCTTTGCTATTCAGGCAGTTACATCTGAAATTCAACACTCTTGCAATGTTTGCCTTGGATACAAAGATCATCTGCTGGTGATTATCCTCACATATCAACAAGTTTTGGCGCCAGTACACGAAACTCAAGGTTCCTGTGAAATTAATAATTGGCAGGAAATGACTTGACAATTTCAAAACGAGACCGCGAGGATTTGATCATACTGAATGCTTATCGCCCGAGAAAAGAAACGTCACGATATACGGTTAGACGAATTCGTTCAGTTCCTCAATTCGCGCACCTTGATTTTCAGGACAATACGAAATTTCAGTCAGTCTCTTAGTCGATCAATTTCGACAACTGCTTGTCTTTTGAATTGCGGAGACAAACGCGTTAGACAGTGCTTTAACCTTTCTTATCACGAGTTAGCACGTGAATTTCATGGGAATATGAATCGGGTCTGCTGCCTGGCCCTTCCAGATGTTTGCTCCAGATAATTCTTAGCCGTCCATGAAATCTTTATTCGGTTGGCATGGCCTTGGCAACTAGTTGCTGATTAACTCTACTTTCTGAAAACGTGCCAATAATCTGGCTAAGCAGCGGCTGTACACCAAGGCTGTCCCGGATACCTGTGACAGCTCACTTCAACCGGTTGCATACGAGGTCGAAGGTTTGCAGTAATGACCCCTGATTCATGATCGAAAGTACTCATGGGGATGAAGCAACACCGAGAGCTAAGTCTTCAGACCCAGCTCTAATTTAATACAACAGTTCGGTTGAGTTCGCATAGAACATCGCTAGCCAATCCAATTCTTCGGTCAATCTTTTCCGCCCATTCACCATGCCAATATTCCTGACCCAAAGATACGTGAACTTCTCCATCTGTCCCACAGCTTTTCAGTTTTTCTGAAGAGTGGCAAGACAAGAGAACGAAAAAATACTAGGTGTCTCACTTCTGACTCGTTCACCTATCAAGCAGCGACGCCGCACTTGTGTACAGAGGGTTGGAGACTGGCTTCCCAAGATTCCAACAAGACAAGGTCATCTGCAAACAGAAACCTTCTCCGCTTCTTTTTACGCCGGTCAAGTCGCACTCGGCTGCGAACCTTTCGAGGGAGCATTGAAGATCAGTTTCAGAAGATGCTAATAAAACAAGCTAGTCTGCAAACAGCAACCTTCTCGACTTAACATCTCCTACACCGATACCCTCGTCGCCTTGGCAGCTCCTGACTATTCTGTCCATGTATAACTCAAATAGGACAGGACGCAGCCTTGGCGGAGACCAGTGCCAACGTTGAATCAATTAATGCCATTAATTTTGACCTGCTATCATCATTTAGTGACTGAATGGTTGTTAGCAACAAGCCGTCTCTCCCATAAGTTTGCGGTCACACCCATGGCCTTCTGTATGGTTTCTGGACATATACTTTCTCCATGCTCACACTGCACGTGTAAACTGGATAAACGAACTCCCGCGATTATTCAACAATCTGACTTAAAGCGAAGATCTTGTCTGAGGTTTATCGGTCTGACCCGAAGCCACCCTGCTTTTTTGCATCTTCGAATAGGCTATCCTGCGGCACCTGCTATATAATTCTTTTGCGTACAACCTTTCTATCAAATTCTGTAAGACAATGACCTGATGATTGGAGCATTTGTCAAGGTTTTCCGTCTTGAACAGGGGCACTGCAATCCCCGTCCTTCAGTCCACTGCTGTCTTCCGCGTAGCCGCTGTAGTTTCATAGACACGTGCGAGCCACAATATGCCCTGTTCGAAGCACTGCATGGCAAAACTCATCGATTTCAGTAGGCTTGCCACTTCTGCAGCTCTCTACGCCTTCTGTGGAAAGAGTCATATCCATTACATGCTGTTTTTTTAAGCGAATCCTCCTGAGATTGCTCAGGGTTATGGAGTTCCCCAAAGTACTCTCACGATTGCGAAGTATGTCCTCATTTTTGATAGAAGAAAGTCCAGATTTGTTCCTCAGGATTTTTCAATTTCCCGTTTTTCCTTCTCGAAGGCAGTGATGGTCTGTCAGAATACCTTTTGATCTCTGAAAATTCGTGTTCAGCATCTCACCGAACGTTTAATGACAATACAGCGAGAAGCAGGCTGATATGTTATACGGGATACTTCTCCACCATCCCATACCCAATATTTTCAACCCATTGTGCACCAGCAACGACAGACTTCCAAACTACAGTAATAAAAATTAATTTTCAGACAATACACTCAACTTCAAAATTCGACAAGTCTTTTGCATGCAAACTCACACGCAATTTATTATGTACGAATTCTCAAACGTTGGGCACTATGCTGGTTTAACCTTCAGAGAGAGACCTGTAAAACAGCATGTTACAGTATAAATCTGAACTGTCAGGTACAGTCGCTCTTTTCAGAGCGTCGATTGTTGAAGTTGCTTCGTACTTCTTTGCAATGTTAACTTATTTCCATAACAAGATACTCATGCACTGATTTGGTTGAATTGCAAGATGTTTTACTCCTGACTGAGGGACTTCTTAACTAAGTGTATTTCATTCTGTCTGTCTCAAAATATATAAACATGTTCCGCCGCTGCCAATCTCTTTTTTGCATTTTTTGTAACCACCTGTGGATCTTCCTATAAGTCAATTCTAACGCAGAGCAGCGTTTCACACTCTTGTAAGGTTACTGAAGTGTTCTTTTTTCTCTTTTCTGTGGGAAGAGAATTCAGTGGATGACAAGCATATAGGACAGAAACGGCACTGCATATCGTTGTTTCAAATCATGGGAATTAACCAAGACACAAACCTTCAGAGCCGGAAGATAAGGGAAGACTTTTTAATTCAATTAAATCAGCTCATGAATCAGAATGTATGATACAATCAGGCTCACATGGAGAAGAAGTAGTGAAGCAATTTACTAGCGATTCTGAAACTTGCAATCTGAAGTTTGTACCTATCTATACCAATGTTTACGGTAACAACACGTTTAACTGTACGTTTCTCGCTGAAAACGATTAAAGCATGATCTGAAACGTTACAAAGTTGCTACGCAAAAAATTTAATGTGCGAAATTATCCTATGAATGACTTTTCGAACTTTAAAGTAAATCTTTATGAATTCACTTCCATGTTCGAAGAACTTAGCTACAGTATTTAGGTAATTGATATTCTGGTACTACCTCAACCCAGAAATAGTATAGGTGTTTCGCTCAAACTGCAGGATTTATCATGCAAGAGAAAGAAGTATTTTTCGTCTGCAAATTAGATTTCCAATGGCAACTTTTTATTCAATATCAGCGAATCATTGATGGAAAACTGTGAACTGTCACTATGGAATAATTTAACCAACATAAATATTTAACCGCCGTGCTCGAACGGTTTTTAATTTAGAATGGGTGTTGCATCAGTAAATTTTGAAACGAAACATCTTACTTGACTTTCTGATACTTGACGGATGAATTCATTTTCAATATAGTTTTTACCTATGTTATATATATGTTAATGTTACTGTCTCGATATTAGTTTGCACCGCAACTGCAGCTCAGTTGTCTGATCTATGTGGAAATTTCTGTACCGTGCATGTTATACCGTGTGTTTTCTCGAAAGTCCAATTTTTTACGATCGTTTAAGAAGCCGTGAAACTGTTAGCCAAAAATACCTTATCTCCTCACCCGTTTCTCCAATATAGGTAGTGCCACCAAATTTCAGCTTGAACAACGCAGTTTAGCAAATGGTGACAAGCATATGTAAAGCTAGAAAACAAAATACCATTACCATTCAAGCCGAGAGACATTTTACATTTACTTGCTGTTCTTCTACGAAGGCTGACTTTGAAGTTTAAACGAATTTAAATTTTGTGAAATAATTGGGCAATTTCGGAACTAATTTGACAGACGCTGTTTTTGATTTTTGGGGGATGAATATATAAGTTATTAACCTTTGATGATGAACGAAATCTTAAAACCTTCGAAATTCATTGGTTTGACAGAAATCCAACATTGTGCTTACGGAGAGCTTTTCATAGATATACGATTTGCTGGGTTTGATTTACAGTTGATGGAGATGACCATGATCCAATGATAGAGAATGAAACAAGTGCCACAGTACTAAACGTCGATAACGACTATCGATAAGCGCCAAAACGTCTCGCACTGAATCGTTCCACTCTGATAGGGAGGTACTGGTTAACCACCAAAATGACTCATTAATTTGCGTTCTGTATGAATAACCATTTCTTTATGAAGTTCTCAAGACCGACTGTGGAAACAAAGAAGCATATGAAGGAAGAAACGAAAGGTGAATTGATGCTGGGATATCGAAAGGAGTCCTGAAAAGGAAAACGTCCATTTGTTTGCCGAAGGTAGTGATGAATAACTGACCGCAATGAATTGACCTAACATTTCCTATGGTGCAGATTATTATAATGTATATGGTACGGATAATGTGAGTTTCGAAAACTTTTGAAGTGATGAAGAATAGTTTTATTATGAATGTCACACCGCAGCGTTATAAAAGGAAAAGACAGAAATCAACTGTGGTCCATAGCGACATAGGCATGCAATATCACATGCACCCAGTGCAAGTATGGTATACAGAACGATGACAGAAAACGATTTTAGAACCTTCGGCATGATTGAAGTTTTCTATCTACTTTGTTTTGACATCGTTCATCATTCACTGAACTTTCGAAACATGGAGGTCGTCGGATGATTGGCGCGACGAAGCCAGATGCTGATTTTTGAGGTTCATTTTTCGAAGTGACTCTGCAACAGGTACTGCGGAAAGAAGGCACTGTTGCGCATTAGCACGGGCCAACTGGAAGGCAAGTAGACAGTGTGGCTCTGGGGTAGCGTAAAGATGGGTCGAGGCTCTAGCGCCGCGGTGATGGCCGTTTTGCCGGGAGTGATGTAGTTCGTGATCGAATTGAAAAACCTGCAAATGTGCAAATGATAATAGGCGAGAACATCCACATGAGTTGCGGAGATGGAAAACTTACCAGTCTTCGGACTCCATATCTCGAAAACCTTTAGCAAAAGGGTTACTGGCAATTTTCAAATTCGTAATCTAAATTAAGCGTTGTTATAGTTATGTTCAGTGGTAGTAAGGTTTTATAATTGCAGTTAAACCGACAAAGTGGAAGTAAGAAATATTTTGAAACCTCATTCTGTATGGAAATCGCCCATGATTTATGACGTAACAATTATGAGTTCCTTTACTGCATGGCATTATCTACTTGAACCAGCTGTTTTATGTGTTTTCCTCGAAAGTAAATTCTCAGATCGCATCATTATCAGGCAGAAAGTGTATGCTGCCAACTGAAAATACTTCTATAGGGGGCAGGAGGTTAGAACAACGTTGCAGCTAACAGTGCGGTCACAGCTGTGAATCTGTATCAACGTACAGACGGTGGTCAGACAGATGCGGACAGATAGTGGTGCATCAACTACGTGTTGTAGTCCATCATATTACATATCAGCGAGTAGCTCTCTGTGAGTGAATTACGATGCCTCAGTCGAGATCATGAATCTACCATTGCAATTCAGTGGTGACGACTAGGCGATGACAGTTACTCAGTGCGGAGTCTTGCGGTCAAGAGTTTGAATTTATGCCATTGGCCGGAGGGCATCTGTATCAATTATATAACGTTATGTCTCAAACGTTGCTTATCACTGCAAAGCTCTGTATGAGTACAGTTCAGTGCCGTTGTCAAACTAAGAATACGACGAATAGCTAATTTAACTGGGGGGAGGTCAGTTAATGTCTACCCTGATGCCCTCTGATTTAATGGATAATCGTTACAATGAAATCATCAGACAAAGATGAAAACTTTGAAATTAATCCTTACGACGAAAGTTTCATATTGTGCTCAAAGAGAGCCTTCGAGCGAAAGATCAAATATAAGATGACGCCTGCAAAAATATATATCCACTAACCGCCATCGCACAGCCATCAAAATGGAATTATAATGAGAAATCCAAAATGGCCAAAATGGCATCGTACGCCAATTACTGAGAGGTTCCCATTGACATATAACATCTTCATCTTCCATTGCCGCTTCTCCTTTCGGGTCGCGGAGGCAGA